GGGGGGGGGGGGTAAGGGACAGACCTCTGTCCCTCCCAAGTAGTGCCCTTTACCATCTTGCTGCATTCATCGGGATCTTCACTGGGGTTGTAGAATCATCCTAGGTCCCTTCCTTTGTCTCTGTAGGGCCTCGTGGGTTGCAAGACAACTTTCCCTTCCTAATCCAGGCTCCGCCGGATGCCCCCCACCCCCGGTGGGGGGGGGGCGCAAAAACTGCAGACAAAGCCTGTACTTTGAGCGGTTCAGTGGTGCGTGTGGGTATGGGAACCAGGCTGCCTCTGTGTGAACGCTGGCTCTCTGCTGCTTATCAGCTGAGCCTGTTTCCTCATCTGTACTATGGGAATGAGGATGTAACAGGCGATATCCCTCACCTATGAGGATGAAGTGAATCATTACGTACATAAGCCCTTGGCAAGAGATTCAGTGTCGGTGTTAACTACCAGGATTGCCCAGTAGATTCTGCAGTCTGGAGGCTGGGACCTCCCTGCCCCTCCCCATCAGTGTGGATGCCCCGTCCTCCCCGCTGTGACCTGAGACTCGCTGTCCCGCAGTGTGCGAAGGAGGCACTTTCGGCCGCTGACCTGGTGGGAAGTGCGTGGCGGTGACCAACGAGTAGAAGGAGCGGAGGAGGCGCCTGCGCTGCTCAGGAGAAGGCTCTGGAGGGAGAAGAGAGACCAGGTGACCGAGAGTTCCTCCACGGCCCACGCCCCTCCTAGCCCCGCCCTCGCCAGTCACCTTGATCCCCAGAGGGCTCCACGGTGAAGAGGCAACGTTTCAATTCCAGGTGGAGGAGCAGCAGCCTGCGAGAAAGGGGGTGTCACGGGCCGGGGAAGAGGGGATGAGGGCCCCCCAACCCACGCGCCCGACCAAACCCTACCCGAGGACGTCCACGTGCAGGGGGAAGCCAGCGGGCAGCGCTCGGGGTCCCAGCGGCACGCAGGTCCGCAGCGGGTCTAGCACTGGCTGCCACCAGCGGTCCAGAAGCTGAGGCAGGGCCGGTGGGCGAGATCAGGGGCGGGTAATAGGGGAGGGGGCGTGGGCAGGGAAGAGAGGAGGGGCCCACGAGGGCGGAGGACAGAGGGGACCAAGGAGGGGATGAGAGCGAAAGAGGGACGGGGCTGGCGTGAAGGCGATTGCAACGCAGGCCACAGGAGGCGGGGCCTACAGGAGGGGCAGGGCTGACGGAGAGCGGGTCCAGTGCGGAGAGAGCGCCGGCCGGGCGCGGTGGTGAGGGGGCACAGGGGCCCGCGGCAGAGGGTGTAACGGGGGAAAAGCGGGGACACGCCCGGATTCACCTGTGGATCCAGCTGGCTGAGGGGAGGGCGCGGCCCGCAGAGCAGACACAGCTCCAAGCCCGGCAGCAGCGTCAGGGTCAGAAGCCGGTGCGGGACCTGAAGCAGGGCGCGGGATGGGCCGGCCGGAGCCCCGCCCCTCCCCACCGAAGCCCCGCCCCCTCACGTCTCGGGCCCCTTCGTCCCTTCTAGCTCGCCCACCGCAGGCGCAGAGCCCCCGCAACTCACCGTGGGACTCCCGTGCGGCAGGTACACCGGGTAGTCGCGAGCGGCCTGAGGCGGCAAGGACCCCACCAGCCAGGGGAGCAGCACGGCCTCCGGCGTCCCCAGCCGCCACCAGCTCTCTGTTGCTGCGACCACCCGGCCCGACACGACCAGGCTGCCAAAGGCCGTGCCTGCTGCCTCAGCGAACCCGGAGAGGGCTTCCTGGATAAGGCAGGCAGGCCGAGTCAGGAGTCAGGGGACACAAGCAGGGGCAGCGACGATTTTCCCAGGTGGGCCAGGGGTGTGAAGAAACTGGCATGCTCGCCTGCCTCACCCTCCCGGGGCCTGGGTTCCTTCCCCTTCACATGCAGGTACCATCCCCAAGTCACATTGTAAAGTGAGATTAAACAGGTAACGTGCCTGCTCCCTGGCCTGACAACGTGCTACTGAAGCTACCGGCTACAACAGCCCAGTGGCGGCTTATTGAAACCTACTACGTGCCAAGTAGGCGCAATCGACAGCCTGCCCCAGCTCAGAGAGGTCAGGTCGCCTGCCCAGAGTCCCTCTGCTGGGAGGCGGCCATGCCAGGTGACTCAACAAGAGCCGTAGTTAAGGAAGGATTAGATAGAGATCCACTGGCAAAAGGACCAGCATGTGCCAAAGCAAGGAAGTTGGGAAGCTGTTGGGATTCGTGGGACCCACGAGGCAGCTGGGCGAAGGCAGACTGTGGAGTTAGCAGAGGTCGGGGTGAGCTCGTTGGTGGGTTTCAGATCCCACAGGTCCTCAAACACCAGGCTGAGGGCATGGAAGCTGGTCCTGGGGGCGATGAGAGCCACCGGAGGGCTGTGAGCTGGGGAGGGGCGGGGTCAGCCCTGGGTGTAGAAAGACCCTTCTGGAGCCAAGTGGGGGGTTGGGGTTGGCCCAGAGGATGGGAAGAGGTTGAGGCAAAGGCCCGGGGGTAAGAGGATCAGGACTAAGGGTTCAAGGATTCCCAGGCATCCTCAGTACCTGCAGGAGAGACACCTCTGGAGGAACCACACAGTCCACACACTGGGTCAGGTCCCCGATGCGCTCAGAGTCCCCCAGGAAACTGTCAACGAGGCGGTAACTGGCCTAGCAGAGGGGAGAAGGAAGGGGCTTAAGGACCCGGATGGCCCCCAGATCTGCCGCCTCCCCTTCAGAAAACTAGCCCCGCGGAGCCTAGCTCTGGGGTCAGATGACCAGGCCGCCGCAGAGGCTGCTGGGAACTGTAGTTCCCAAATATCAGCGACGGGGCAAGCTAACTTCCATCCTCACGTCCTGAAGCCTCACCCTCAACTCCTTCTTCAGCCTCTCCACGTTGCGGATATTGGTCAGTTCTTCAAGCCCCACAAGAAGAACCTAGAAGAAGCAAATAAGAGAGGAGGGGCTGGGGATCTGGACTCCTGGTGTGAGGGAGGAGGATACTGAGAACTCAGGTTCCTGGGTTTGGGGAAGAGGGCTAGGGAGTCTCACCATGGCCCCAAACACCATCTGGAGTAGCCTCTCCAGCCTCAGCTCCGAGGTGCCCTCCTCAGATGACAGAACAATGAGGGTGATGCTGTGAGAAAGGGGGCCAAGAAGCGAGAATGAGTCCAGGCCTCAGAAACAGGGCAGTGACTTGATCTGCCGGCTGCATCTTCTGCCAGCCAGCACAACCCGCTTCTTGTACAGAGAAACCCAGGGATCAGAGAGGGTAACTGGCTTGGCAAAGATTCCGCAGCCAAGTAAACAGCGGGCCGTGGAGGCCATCTTCGACAGGGGCTATCATCCGGGCCCTGTGCCCGCCCCCAAGCTACCACGTGGAGACCTGTCATGGAAGTTTTTCCACACCACGGTCGTGTCCTCGGTCCTTGCAGAGCTCAGCTGCACCTCGAGATTCTGCCCAAACATGTGTACGCCATTGAGAGAGCCGATGACCGAGAACGGGAGCTGGGGAAACGTTGGGGACATTAGACGGGAGCCCCCAAACCCCTCCACCTTGGGACCCAAGTGTCCGGGGCCCCCGCCCCCTCCTCTTTCTGGATCCCCTGGCCCCTCCTCTTCTGGGAACCAGGATTATTGGTCCATTCATTACACTCGTGGCCCTCTAACTAAACTCAGCTCTGAAACTTCTCCAGACCCTACTCCCTTGCAGACCCAGAGTCCACGTGCCCAGCCCCCTTCTATTTTGGAGATCCAGGCGTCCAGGGCCCCACCTGCTGGCGGGCGGGGGCGCCGCCGCGGCTGCTTCTGCAGAACAAGGGGACTCCGCTGGAGGCCGCGAGGCAGAGCAGATGCACGGTGCCCTCCGTCCCCTCCTCGCCCATTTGGAACCCCCTCCGGTCCCCTCGTGGGGGCAGTCAGTGACCACCTTGGAACAGGCCCATAGTCACGCCAAGTCGGCAGGCCGGTCGGCCATCCGAAGCCGCCAGAGGGCGAGATGGGGAGCTGATTGGCAGAGAAGTAAATTCCCGCCTTCTCCGTCCAACTCAAACCCACCCTCAGTCTCTATTCCAGCACCTCCCCCAAGCCCCGTTAGGTTCTCTTCCGCCCCAGCCGGAAGTCACATACCCCTAACAAAGATGGCGCCTCCGGGGCTTGCAATGTTTCGTAGTTTCTCCCTGAAATAGTTCGGCTGACTCCATTTATTTAGAGAAGAGAATGAAGAGCCCGGCTTGAAGGTAGTGACGGCGCCCAGGCGTTGTCTAGCAAGCGTCAGGTAGGCTAGGACGTTTTACATTCTAAAGTGATAAACAGCTGTGCCCGACTCAAAGATGGTGACGATGCCGGGGCGTTGCCTAGCAACCCCGCGTTCCGTCTAATTTCCAGGCTAAGACTGTCTAGAACTGTGCCCCACTCAAAGATGGCCGCATGACGAATCTCGAGCAAAGCCGAGAAAAATACCATCTCCCCCTTCCCCCTCGCTGATGGTTTGGTCCGGCGAACGTTGCCTAGTAACCACCAAAGGAGAAGGTTGTTTTTGTTGTTGGAAAAAGAAAGACGAAATCCTTTATTTTCCAGAATCACAAAAATAATCTGATTTTTCTAATAAATTTATACACGCTAGTGTAGCACGCCGAACGTGAAAATAGCCCCCACTTTCCCGAGATAAAAGGTTGACATTTAACACAAAATATTCACCCATTGTTGACAAATATGATCACTGTGCTAATGTTGCCTTCAAACTTTTTTTTCTCCTCAGACCGCATAAATACGCCGTTTTTGTATAAATGTCTTTTGATAATCAACATTACGGATGTAAGCAGGTCGATTTAGCCAATCCTGTATTGACATACATCCGTTTCTTTCTTCTGTGTGTTTAAAGTAAACTGATAAAGTAGAATTTCATTTAGTTATGAATTTAATCAACTAGAACTTTTTTGCTTTGTGAGAACAGTGGCCTGCATGCGCCCAAATGTATTTGCAAAATATATAGTAATGTTAAAAACCATTTGTTTCCTGAAAACCTGTTTTGCCTGCATTCTGGATTTGGTGTTTAGTAGCTGATACGAAATATATTAAGAGGTTTATTCTCACACTAAATTACATCAAACTTCTAGAGGAATAAACATACATAAAATCATAAATGGAGTAAAATATCAGTTTCTCCCTGCCGTTCTATGAATTTTCTTCAGTCCATATTTATTTTTAAAATTTTTTAATATTTATTTTTGAGAGAGACAGAGCTTGAGTGGGGGAGGGGCAGAGAGAGAGGGAGACACAGAATCCAAAGCAAGCTCTGAGCTGTCAGCACAGAGCTCGACGTGGGGGCTCAAACTCATGGACCCTCAAGATCAGGACCGGAGCCGAAGTCGGACGCATCTGGTGGGTGCTTAACCGACTGAGCCACCCAGGTGGCCCCAGGCAATGTTTCTTTGTAATTACATAAGTGTTGATGACTCATCTGCCCTCCTGTTTCCTTCTTGCCCCTCAAACTATCCTTTCAACATTATTTAAAAGTTGCCTCCTTCCTGAAGTACAGCCTACTGGAAAACGGTTTCCTCACAACACTTCTGACACCACATGTGTGGGTTTTCCACACCACGCAATTCTCCAGTGCCCTGTGGATACCAGCTGGGTGTCTTACAAGTCAATGCAGTTCTGACTCTAACCACCTGGAGTCAGTGCAGACCCCAAAGGTCAAGGGCTCAGTCCCATGAGTCTGCCCCCACTTTGGACATCAATCGTGGAGCACCTGAGTGGCTCAGTCAAGCATCCCACTCTAGATTTCAGCCCAGGTCATGATCTCATGGTCATGATCTGAGATCAGCCTGGAGTTGTGCTCTGGTCATGGAGACTGCTTAAGATTCTCTCTCTCTCTCTCTCTCTCTCTCTCTCTCTCTCTCTCTCAACAAACAAACACACAAACAGAACTACCAATCGCAAGTAGTGGGTCCACAGGTTATCCATACTTCTGTCTGAATTGGCTACAAATTGGGGGTTCCACCTCCTCAGGTTTGATCATTTGCTACAATGACTCACAGAGCCCAGGGCAACACTTTACTTAGTATTACTGATTTATTGTAAAATGTATTATTAAGGATAGCAATGAACAGCCAGATGAAGAAGTACCTAGATGAAACCCAGAGGGTCCTGAGTACAGGAGATTCTGTCTCTATGGAGATTGGGGTGCATTATTCCCCCAACACAGGGATGCAACTCAGAGGTTCTCTGAACCCATGCCTTATTGGGGGTTTTAAGTGCAGATTTCAGGGGCACCTGGGTGGCTCAGACGGTTGAGCGCCGGACTTTAGTTCAGGTCATGATCTCACGGTGTGTGGGTTCGAGCCCCGCATTGGGCTCTGTGCTAACAGCTCAGAGCCTGGAGCCTTCTTGGGATTCTGTGTCTCCCTCTCTCTCTGCCCCTCCCCCACTCACACACGCACACACTCTCTCTCTCTGACATAAACATTACAAAAAATTTAATGTAACTTTATATTCTGTGCTTCCAGGATTCAAGAATTCATGTTTTGTTTTGTTTACACTAATTTTTTTAAAGTAATCTCTCTGCCCAACACGGGGCTCAAACTCACAACCCTGAGATCAAGAGTCACATGCTCTACAGACTGAGCCGGCCAGGCACCCCGATTTTTTTTTTTTTTTTATTTCTCATCAGCTCTAGACAATGCACAGCAATAAATTCTTAAAAATGTTGTTTCTCTTTTATTCCGTTTTTTTCCCATTTCTGACTCCAATTAGAGAAATGTCAGACTTTCACTTTCTAGCACCATATCCATTTTCAAATTTAAAACATATTTTTCGTTTCCTAGTTGGGTAATCTCTTCCCTTTTCCTTGTTTTCCTTTTCTTTGTTAACTTTTTTAAAGTGTATTTATTTATTTTGAGAGAGAGAGAGAGAGAGAGAGAAGATGAGCAGGGGAGGGGCAGAGAAAGAGGACAGAGGATCCGAAGCAGACTCTGTGCTGACAGCAGAGAGCCCCGTGCGGGGCTTGAATTCATGACCCGGTGAAATCATGACCTGAGCCAAAGTCGAGTTGAACGCTCAACGGACTGAGCCACCCAGGGACCCCCTGGGTTGGTTGGTTGTTTTTTTTTTTTTTTTTTTTTTTTTTTTTTTTTTTTTTTTTTTTTTTTAAGTTTATTCACTGAGCGAGCGAAACAGAGGACAAGCAGGCTCCACACTGCCAGCACGGAGCCCGACGCGGGGCTCGAACCCACGAACCGTGAGATCACGACCTGAGCCGAAGTCGGACGCTGCACCCACTGAGCCCCCCAGGGGCCTCCCAAGTTAAGTTCTAAAGGCTGTGACTTCCATCTGGCTTGCGTTCTCCCTCTTGCTGGTACTCTCTCCTGCTTGCTCTGATGCAGCCAGTGCTATGTTGTGACGCACCCAAAGCGGACCATGGACCCGAGCACAGTCTCGGGCTGACAGCCTGGGAGCAACTGAACCCCGCTCACGATTACAAGAGGGAGCCTGGAAGCAAGCTTCTCTAGTTCTGCCTTCGGACGATGTCCGTGCTGGCTGACGCTTTGATTACAGCCAGTGAGAGACCCTGATGCCGGGAGCCAGCTAAGCCATACCTGGATTCCTGATCTGCAGAAACCACGAAACAATCCGCGTGGTTTTAAGCCGCCGAGTTTTAGGGTAATTCGTCACCCAGCGTGAGAGAACTTAAGACAACGTCCTTTGTTTCTCTCACCATTTTGCGCATCACGGTACATTAGGAACCCAACCATTCCGGGACTCGGAGTCCCGGGATCTCACATCTGTTAACCGTTGTTCCCATGGACTCTAACTTACAGTCCTTGCCTCTGTGCTGGTGGCCTTTGACTCCGAACTCCTTACTTGATGTTGAGCAGAGTCCCGTGCGGAGGATTTCCTTCTGCTTGTGCAGATTTGCAGGAGTGTTACCAGCCTGGAATTAGCTCAGCGGCCCTGGGAGGCCCTTGCTTAGGTGGAGAAAAAGACTCCTTTTCCAATTCCCATCGAGCTTCAGGCTCTTGGTAATGCCTATGCAGCAGTAATATACTCGGTCTTCTTTTTTGTTAATTTTTGGCTGTCTTTTTTTGAATGGGAGGGAGGGATTCTTTTCTTTTCTTTCTTTCTTTCTTTCTTTCTTTCTTTCTCTTAAGTTTAGTTATTTTGGCATGTATGATTGAAGGAGGGAGAGAATCCCAAGCAGGCTCCTCCCACTGTCAGTGCAGAGCCCAATGCAGGGCTCGAACTCATGAACCCTCAGATCAAGAGCTGAGCTGAAGTCAGAGGCTTAACTGACTGAGCCACCCAGGTGCCCTAGAAGGGGGAGGGGGTGTCGGTTAGGATTCTTGAAGAACCTCTCATGAGGTCTACCTCTTAAGAAACCACCAATGTTGCAAAAACAGTATTATAGCACCTAATCCATCATAATCCCAGAAGCTGAAATCCAGGTTAAAATATCTAATTGTTTATTTATTTATTTTTATCATTTGTAATATATGAATGGAAATGTTTAAAAAATAAGTTCGTACAGTCGATCATACATTCAGCTTATCTAAAGAAAGGTTTCCTTTTAGCTGCTAGGGCAGATTTTTAATTTTAGGAAGTATTTTAATCTTCTTACCTGTTGATCATTTTTCCTTGCTCCAATTTAATCTTCCTTACAATTCTATTAAAATCGAATTACACTGGCATACAAAAGATGGGAGCTGCTTTAGATGAAAAGAAATTTGAGAGATATAATGTCTAAATATGTGCTTGGTCTTTGGATTCTGACGCAAATAAAGCAAATGGAAAAGGACGTTTTGAGAGAATTGGGGAAATTTGTGGATTTACTAGTAAAAAATTTTTTTTAAATGTTTATTTATTTTTGAGAGAGAGAGAGAGAGGCAGAGAGTGAGCAGGAGAGGGGCAGAGGGAAAGGGAGACACAGAATCCGAAGCAGGCTTCAGGCTCTGAGCCATCAGCACAGAGCCCGATGCGGGGCTCAAACCCACAAACCATGAGATCA